AGTGTAAATATATGTGAGTTGGAAGGGAACTGTAATGGTAATGGGATGTCTAATCAATTCTCTCACGAATATTCAGGACTTTTAGCACCGGTCATGTGTCACAGCTCTACAGCTGAATACCCATTAAATGATTTAAAAATAAATATAAATAATATCACATTCCAGGAGGGCAAAACTGAACACCTGTACGCGATGTCATCTACGAGCCTAGGAGTGAAATAAACTCCCAGAGCCAAGTTCAGTCAATTTCGCAATATCGAACAAGTTGGCCCCCGAGGCAATGATTCAAAATACTCCACCATGTCAATCTTTCACTCCCAATAAAATCGATTCCTACCTAAGCCTCATCAAGTCTACAAGTACGACCTAGTACATCCTCATTCCAGTGACCACACATCTTGTCAACTTTCTCTGGCCTCAGCTCGTCGCCAAATACACGCCCACGCCGATTTTTACACCAGACGGAGGAAGCAAAGCGTGGCGCACAAATCTGGGAGACAGTTCTCTGATATAGACATGAGAGGGATCAGGAAAAGATCATAAGATGATGCAAAGGAAGGATATATCCTCGAAGGGCGGAAATTCTGAATTTTGGCAACGAGTTTTACAAATCGAACTTTGTGCGCGCCAATAGTTTGCTTGCAAGAGTGCAGCTGACACAATAAAAACAAGCAAACGACGGAAGTTGTTGTGATCCGCCTCCTGGTGATGTTCTCTGGTATAGTTTGAGTAGCCTGGGCACCTACTCCACTTGGAAAAGAGACACCTCAGATCACAAATCACGCGGAGAAAAGTTGAAAGATGATGGAGGCATGTCTGGATAACTCAAGGTTTTTGAGACGTTCCCCTGGGTGGGTATTCACGGATGAGGGTTGACTTGGGGTGAAGAAAAAGCCGCCATAACTTCGCAGTGGTACTCGCAAATGAGATCCGAGGCATGAGTGCTCTTCTTTTAAATTGAGTCATCTTTTATACACTTCTCTGATATTTTATCATAGCCAGATAGCTGCATACGCGATTAAAATAGCCAGGAGGTTGAAGCGTTGATACAACTAAGTAACGCCAATATACGTGGCTTGGGGCGTGGATTGTGCAGTAGTAGGCCATTCGGGCAGTTCTCCCGAATAGATTCGAGGTAGCTTGGAAACATACCACATTGAAGACAGGAGAAGCTGTTTCGAATCCTATAAAGCCCACACACCAGCCTCTCTCGCGGTGATATTGTAGTTGTGGGATGATGAAAGCAGACTCAGATAACCAAAGGTTTTTCACGCTTTTCCCTGTAGCAGGTATGACCGGAAGAGTTTGTACGCCGTAAGGGTTAACCTCGAGTGGTATCTGCAAATGAAATCTGAGTGTAGGTGTTCTAAACGTCAAATTGAGTCAGCCTACTTAAACTATATATTTTTCCATAAAACCTGCATAGGCTTCGAGGCGTCATATCAGGAAAAAATGAATCATTTATTTATTTTACACGTGGCTTCGTAGCAAGCGCTGTAGTGTACCTGTGGTTTAATCGGGTTGCCGTGCAATGACACACTTATTCTTTGGGGAAACACGCACTGAAAGTATGCTGTTTTTCATCCAGAGTTTGGGGGAAGACGCAAGAGAAACTACTCAATAAGATTGTTGTTGCCAAAACGATTGTTGTCTGACAGTACGAGCCCAGAGGTGTTATCCTATAAAGTCGAAGATACACATTGTGCCCAAGGACAAGTCGTCAGGTAGTAGAATCAAGAAGTGGATCAATTGTTATAAGTACCAAGTAGATGTAGCTCGAGTTCTCATTCCTCTTCAAAAAGTTGAATAAATCGATCAATTCATCACTGACTCAGTCCCTGTCAAAGCAATATTCATGGGTTCCGAGGGCCAGTTCTCACTGATGGAGCTAGCCATCCGAAGAATGGAAATGCGTTTCTGAAGCTGGTTCCTTTCTGAGAATGGGGTCCATGAGACGAATGGTTATGTAGAGCCACTTATTATGAGTGTCTTATATAATCTAACTATTACGACTAGGCGAAAAACAAGACTCCTCTCTTATTGTAGATTATAGTAGGCTGGTTAATGTATATTTAGCCATGAACTTGGCAAGTTAAGGAATAAGAACTTTTACATGCTGTGTCAATGATGGTCTTCATTGCCAACAAGCACTAATTTAAACAGCTGGTACCCTTGGCCGAGGTATAGATTAACATAAAGCTACAACTCAGACCCTAACTTCACAGCGCACGAAAGTTGAGGTAGGATGAACCTCCACTTGTAGCATTGATCGCGAGTATGAGTTTTGGATCTTAGCGTGCTTCGGTAGGTAGTGAGATGAATTTAGAGAGGTTTTACGAGATGAGTTGAGAATGACAAGACCTTCCTGGGAAATTTTAAATGACGATGATTTTCTTATATTTTAAAACGAACTTCAGCTAGATGATATCCTATCTGCAGTTCTTATCTGGGATGTAGATGATAGAATTCCATGGCTTATGCGGTTGGGAAATCTTTGAAGGTCGCATACTGGACCAATGACTAGCTCATAACATTCCTCCTAATCACCATCAGGATGTTAAACTCTCTACAACACCCTGTATCGTGACAGAATCTCGGTTCAAAGAGGATATTTATCTCTCATCACCTTGCAATAGGCTTAGGCCATGCTTTTACCTGCCAAAACATTTAAATGGCTATGTGTATGTTAGTCTTCAATTTCCGGAGTCCTTCATAGTCATAGACTCAGTAGGGACTTAAATTTAATTCTATTCTATTCTATTCGATTTCCGGTGAGCCAACCCAGCGCCACTTCTGGAGTTCCAATAGTTAGCTTCAAACTAACACTAATGTTGTCTTTATAGGACTACGATTCGGAGGTTGAATACCGGACACCTGTTGGCGGTATCTCCTACAAACTTGGGAGTGAGATATTCTCCCAGAGCAAAGTTTAGTCAAATTTCGCAATGCCGTAGAAGATGGCCCTCGAGGCAATAATTCAAAATACTCCACCACGTCGTTTTTTCACTCCCAGAGAGATCAACTTTCACCTGAGCTTCATCAAGCCTACAATTACGACCTAGTATAAACATATTTCAATAACCAAACCTCTCATGCACTATTCTCTGGTCTTGGCTGGCCACCAAATACGCGCTCACGCTCATATCTACACCCGACGGAGGAAGCAAAGCGTGGCGCATAAATCTATGAGACAGTTCTTTAGGATGGACGTGAAAGAGATCAGGACAAGTTTACAAGATGATGTAATTCCGACTAGTGTCAATTTTTGAATTTTGGCAAGGAGCTACACAAATTGCAGAGCAATGTGTGCTCCAAGTCTCCGATTGCGAGAGTACAGGCGACGCTATAAATACCGCCGTAGTTGGATGGTGCGGTGGTACATCGTGTTGGGCAACCTGCCAAGTAAGGTCTTTATAGCTAGGACTCATATCCCACTCGAGACAGGAGATGGATGGCTCAAATCCCGCAAAACACAATCATAATTCTCGCGGCGCTGGTATGCATGAATGACGAAGGTATGCGCGGACAAGCAAAGGATTTCAATTTCCCCTTGGTGGGTATTCACGGAGGAGGGTCGACTATCCAGGTAAGCAAGCATACCTCAGTGGTATTTGCGAATGAAATCCAGAGTATGAGTGTCTTTAACGTCAAAAGAGTCATCCAACACGTATACAAAGTACCATTCATGTGTCATAGCTATATAGCTGAATACACATTAAATGATTAAAAAAAGCTGACCGAGGCGCACTGAAAAGCGTGGCAATTTGACCTGACTTGCTTGTGAAATCTTGATGTGGTATTAAATATATAAACAACGAGAGAACTTTGCATGTAGATATACAAATGGTGGCTGGACTTCAAATGAAGAAAGTGACAGGCTCCTTCGATGCGGCAGAGTATCGTGTAATTAAAAAATACCACATTGCAATGAGGTGGTTCAATCATGATTTATTCTATTCTATTCTTGTATTCGATACAGTCAGTATAACCGAGAGTATCTCACTCGTTATGGCCAAGTCTCCTAAACCTACTTAGACAGCATCACTTGAAGCGTGATTCTGGATGACCTTCACAGCGAGTCTGACACTAAGTTATATGCAAAATTTGCTAGAAGTTAGAATAATTGGGGCTATCAAGTAGGCCACATTGTTGATGCAAACGTGACTGCTCAATTTGCAGTTAGTTTTACGTCAATAGCTACTTATATCAATGCGTTCTACAACCTCAATGACTGAAGGGTCATTATTTCCTTAATATAATTCGACCCTATTTCACCATTCATCATAGTTCATTCAATTCCTTTTCGATAATTGAAACCCATTTCTGCGTTTTGACATTAGGATGAGCCGTATTCATATTTTTACATCAACTGTTAAATATAAATTGAGCAGACAGCCTAACCTTATTAAATGTCAGGACCAATGTAAATTTACGGCAAAGAATTCACTCAAAGTTCATTTCCGGCAACGCATGAGTGTTTAAAACTCTAGTGTGACTTGTTCAGCTAAGAGACGAATTCAAAATCCCTTGTTATTCTTAGACTGTGAACAACTAATAGCTATTATTACCAAGAGGAAATAATAGAAAAATCAGACATCCAATTATTAATCTAGAATAATGCAATGACCTGTGGTGACGAAACAATAACAAGCCCCGGTTTTTCAACAATGTTCCGATTCTGATTAACAACGAGGTGCTTTCACAAGCAGTATTGACCTTGTTCCAATGACGACTAAATTCTTAGAGGACTTTCATGGCCTTAAATTTTAAGTGTTGTCACAATACTAGAGCTACGACATTTTTTGATTCTACATAGCATTAAGATGAGCATGAATTTGTTTTTTTGTTTGCGAATTGAATATATCTTTATCTGCAAAAGATCATCTCACAGAAAATTTATGGTAATTTAGTTTTAATTTTTGCTGTTGAGAATCACATCATTTGTAATATAATCCAGTTCACAAAGTAATTTGTCTGGATGAAAATAACATTGTCAGGGGTTATCCATCCAGCCCTAGAAGAGCTTCTTCATAAGCTTCTAGAATTGGAACATACAGAATATCTGGATCGGAAGGCGTAGAAGAAGGACGGTCTTTGTTGGCTGTGTAAAAAATATTCTTTAGGTTGGTAGCTAGTTTTTCCATACAGCTAAATTTCCGTACAAAATCTTGCCGGAGTCCATAACTAAAGTTACCGATATAAGAATCATTCACATGTTTCCAGTCTGGATGTTTACCAGTGTCGTTTTGAAAAAGTGAGCTCTTATATGACGGTTCCTGCCCTTCCCAGCCGTATACCATACAAATTGATAGAATAACATAAAATAATGACTCAAGGTCGTGCCGAAAGGTCTGCTTAATCAACTTATTTTCTTTTTTTAAAAGATCAGGCGAGGTAAAAGGGGTGTTAATAGCACGTAAATTTTCATACTTAGGATCTTCCAACGGTATAGCTTGGCTCAAGTTGATCAGGGTGCCAGAAATGCCATTGTTTAAAAGTGGGTCTATTATTCTCATATTACTTTCGTGGATATCACAGTAAAGGATCTTGGCTTCTAGCAGAAGCTGCCTGTGCGCTTTAGTGATATCGCGCATGGCAGTGATTAACTCTTTGGCTGATTTAAAACTTCGGAGAGGTCGACCGACGGGTGAAACACAGTGGCAACTGAGGGTCATGGAACCGAGCTTTGGACAGAAGGTCCAGTCTAATTCTCGTCGTTTCGCTATTTCATGATCCTCCAGTGCTTCATCATCATTCTTAGATGTATACCTTGCGACAGACTCGTACACGTCTGGATCAATTGCCACAAAGTCCAATCCACTGCGGATTTCATCAGTTGAGATAATAACTTGCGAGCCAATCAGCTTTGCAACACCGGCAACGTTTCGTGCTTGATGATGTAAATCTATCTCTGATGGTCTATTCGATTCTGTCCAAGAGAATTTGGCAAGGTAATTCCCGTCGGTCGTACGATAACATGTGGTGCCACTCCAGAGCTTCAGTCTTTTCTTCATCACAGGCGTCATATCCAACTGAAATACTTGGTTCTCGGTGCTTTGATTAATTTTTACTGTGATCTGCTGATTATCCGAGTCCATAAACAGATCGATTCCAAGTTCATCATCATTCATTAGCGTATAGGCCGTGATAGCTCGGATGAAGCGCTCAGGCTCATCTTTGATATCAATCATTCCTGATCCAAAAGCGCCACAAGGATCAAACACCCATAGTCGCAATTGCGTGCCATATAGAAGGAACCCATGGGCAAAACGTCGCAGGGGTTGCGCATAAAATACTTCACGCATGTAATATTCGAGTTGAAGGAACGTATTTCGCCAGTTCTCGTGCGTGAGAGAGTTGGTCAGAACTCCTACTACTTGCACATCGCGCCAATGGTGAGGTCTGTCAGCCGGGCAGCTGCGGCTTTTGGTGAACACATCAAGCTGTCGGTGGCACTGTTTTCCCGGTATATCTCCTATCCTCGTCATGCGAAAGTATTTTCCTCGCGAAGCTTGATTCCGCTTCTCACTGGAAGATTTGCTGTCAGTTTTTCGCGATTCAACTGGGTAGACATGGGCCTGATATAGATAGCGTTGTTGGAATGAGTCTAGCCACCTCCAAAGGGTTTCTTCTGACAATTCTTTCGGGAAGTCACGAAGCGGACCGCCATCATTTGCTAGGCTCAGGCCTTGAAAGTTTAATGAGCTCTGTTCCATCCATTCTCCTTGACAAAAGTACTTCTCCCAGAAGCCGCCCACTTTAACATATGTCGATTCCATAACATCTTGGTGGAATGATTGATTTGATTTGAGCCATTTTTTCACCCCATACGGCATCAATACCTTTTCCGGCATTCCTCTGAATATGAGCATCATTTATCCAAATAGGGGAGATTAACGTACAAGAACTCATGGCAGAAATTCAAGACGGACTTCCATGCGGCGTCATCTGAGTTACTTTCAGCGATGGAGATAGCCAGTACATTGAAGATTGGAAGGTCTAAATCGTTGGGGCACAAGGATTTTAAGATGGAAATAATCCAGTCTTCAAGAGATATTTTGGGATTAACTTTTAAGTGACGAGATACTGGATGCATTGTCAAGGCAAACAGAAACTTCTTGATGGCTATTCGATTCCATTGAAGGAATTCGGATTCATTGTAGATTGAGCTCTCTGTTTTCTCTTGCGAATAATGATAATTTGATTTGAAGACATCTGTGGTTGGGCCCAATGGATGTTCGAGTATAAGACTCGCAGCCGAATCTGATAATGTTATATTGTTCTGGAGCTTTATAGCCATGATTTGGCGTTTAGTAGTAGAAAAACTTCTCGAGTTTGAAACGAATGGGGGACATCACGCATAATCTAACTGTGTGTACGCTGGTCAATTTGTATTTAGCTGCCTCGTTATTGAACTGCGGAGTGAATACAAAATAAAGTCCGAAATGTGGAGCTTCATTGCGATCATATTTTTAGAATGCTCAGATCAAGCCAAAATTGGTATAATGCCTATGCCTACTCGAGTTAGCCCACGCTCACGTATGTCCGGACGAAATTATCTCAAATAATTAACGTGAAACGTTTCAGTTCAGTTCAGGAAACTAGTTGAGAGAGAGAGGTGTATGTATTTGTATTGCAGTACTTGAGTCTTACATTATCTAGCACATTGGGCTCCCCTCTGACCTAGACCACAACTTGTAAAGTGCTCCTATCCTCTTTTGTAACTTGAAAGATCATTAATATATTGCTCATGATGAATAGCCAATCAGCTTAGTATTTCCCCGTGGAATTCAGCCACCTATTTCACGGAACTTTCTACCCAAAAGAATAAAAAAATAATAGCAATGGAAACTGCGTGCGCAGGAAAAAGTCACAAAAAACCTGCAGCCACAGCCAGGCGAGGCCTAGACACCGGGACCACATGAGGTGGGCAAATTCATCTATATCTCCTTTCTTTGTAACAATCGAGGCCGACTTGATCCAATCCACCATCTCCGTATCGGGTGCTGGGTACGCTCCGGAAACTCATCGGATGGCATCTCCTCCATGATCTAGGGTTGGTGATGAGAAGGGCTCCGACCCTACCATCTGATCTGATTGTGGTTAGCTTCATGATAGTGGTGATAGGGTAATGTGTTGATAGATGAAGACGATACAGACCGCGAGAGCGATTGGGAATCCTCGTCGAAGTGAGGACTTTGTTACTCAATCTCGGCTCTGCATACTCTGCAGTGAGAGCTGGAGGTTCGTAGGGGACACCACTGACAGGTGTTGAGAATAGTCTCCCTCAAGCAAGGAAAACTTGAACGCTGTTAGGCTAGAGACCACTGCGGGATCATCTTTTTATTACTATCAGCTACTCTGTTTTCAGCTCTCTCTCTACAAAACATGACTAGGGCCTTTTGTACATGTAGATCGAGTCAATTAATTTTATAGACACATAAACTCTGGATCTATTCGCAAAAACCACTGTGGTAAGTTTACTGCGCAGAACAGTCGACCCTCCTCCGTAAGTATCCACTAGAGGAACACGTCAAGCCCTTTTGCGTTCCAGGTGCCCCTCATTATGCGTGCACACAAACACCGTGAGAAAAGTCACAAAGTCGCGCTGGATTCAAAAGAGACACCTCCTGCCTCCATTGCGCGAGGTGTTCAAGCTACCTAGACTTCACTTGAGAAATAAGCACCACAGAACTGTCTAAGTATAGTTGTATTAAGGTGTTGCCCACGCTATCGCAAACTTGATAGTGACACGTTAAGTGCACACCGTGAAAACTCTTTCTAATTATCGACATCTCATCCCTCTCAAGGTTATTTCCATCCTCGGCATCATATTGTCCATCTCAAATATTTACCTGCACTACTTTTGCGCTACAATTTGTCTTCTCTTGCGGGACGTTAGTGCGTCGTGGGCATGTACTTGGAGACCAGCTGCAGCCAGAATTTGAGTCGATAAAGTCTCCTCAAAGAAGTCAGAATACACTGGTCTATACTTGTCGACTCGGTGAGACTTTGGTCGGTCTCGATTTATTTGGGGGAAAAGCTAGATGTAGTGGGTATTCTTGAATCAATTCCTCGTGGGTCATTCGCTTCATTGTTATGATATTCGACTGAACTAATCTCTAGCAGAATAATTCAATCGATAATCATCAGAGGAAACAACTGAAATTCGTGCAGTCTTCTTCGTTGGAAACCTCCCATTGTACGGCGAGGCTTGATCGACGGGAAAATATTTTCAAGAGTTCTATCTCACCCCCAATTATGCAAGATTTTCTATGAAGCAAAGTTACAGGTGGGGTCGTCCAGTGCATTGGTGGGTCTAATTGTGGAGATGGTGCAATACGCGTCAGTTCGGGTAATTTATAGCTGCGGTAATTCTTCAACTCAATCTCACAAGTATCAAATCATGGTCCCATTGATTGGGTCAGCCGGCTGATGAAGCCTCCATTTGATAGCCGCCATTTATGTACAGAAAAATTGATTTCGACCGTAAATTTTGATCCAGTGGTCGAAAGCAAACACTACCGTTGGAGGATCGAAATTAAGATATGCAACGATTTGGAAGCTATGATCTGCTTTAATGTGAGGATGGATGGCACCATAAGTTAGTTGTGAAACCCTCTACCTGTCCAAAGGCTATGATCGCTTATCTGCAGCTAACGCGCGGTACAACGTTCATTCCGCATAAAATTACTTTGCGACTATGTTAGGGGAATGCTGAGCAGACTCAAGTATGAGAACACCTCTTACCTTCAGTTCTTGTAAGAGAGCTTTGCAAGTTCTGTCGGTTTTCTCGACTGTCAAGCGAATGACAATTCTGCCTTGTTTGCAGTATCCATCTTACGGTGATTCTCTTCGTAGGTGTCTATTTGTTCATAAAATTGGATCAGAGTTTAGCACTGCATGGGCAAATGTAGAAATCCTAGCATCACAAACAGAGAATGAGTCATCGTCGCTCGTTAGAGAAGATGCGTTGGTGCATGGAAATACAAAAACAAAGCTTAGCTCATTATACATGCTCATGGATGCGTTTGTCATTTCGGATCTGATGCTTTCATTAATTTACCATGTACCCATCAAGATTGAACCGTGTTACCAATAAAATGGTCTGAAAAGTTTCTCACAAGAACTCTCGAGCTATTCGTTGGTAGCAGAGCTACTCAAAGCGACAATGGACGATACCAAATCAAACCAGCCCTTGAAAGGAATATTTATTGGGGATTTTATTCATTGCAGAAGTTTAGATGATCTGGAATTCCTTGTAGACACAGCTGTTTGTGTTGACGAGAAGGGCTGGATTGTCATGGTCGAAAGAGAAGTTTCAGACCAAATAAAAGCGAAAAAGATCTTGCTACCAAGGCTTAGTTGGAAGGAGGATGAAGTAATATTCAAAGTGGCTTGTAAAGGGCAATTTTTTTTCCCCGGATTTATAGGTCGGTCCTGGCAGCATCCTTGTGAATAAAACAATCAATTTAATGTAGGAGAGCACCCACAGATACCCATATTCACGCACCGCAATATCCTAACGTCGGCCTCTTTGGCAAGACTTCGCTACTTAGTTGGCTCGAAAACTACACATTTCCCTCTGAGGCTTCGCTCAAAGATCTAGATACTGCTAGAAAAGTTTACACACGCTGCATACAACGCTCTCTATCCAATGGTACCACTACCGCCGCCTACTTTGCCACCATAGATGTCTCCGCTACCAATCTTCTTGCTGACATTTGTTTTGCCAATAGCCAACGAGCATTTATTGGTAGATGCTGTATGGACTCCGCCGTAAACCCCATAACTTACCGAGATGCCTCATACGAGACCTGTCTGGCAGATACACGTGCAACTATTGATCATATTGCAAGCATTGATCCGACGAATAGTCTCATAATGCCAATTATCACACCTCGATTTGCTCCCTCTTGTTCTACGGAGGCAATGAATAGTCTATCTTTTCTACAAAAAGAAACAAACCTGCCGGTTCAGACGCACATCTCAGAAAACCGGGATGAAATTGCCCTTGTAAAGCGACTTTTCCCTCAACACACAACTTACGCCGAGATTTATGATGAGCATGGCTTACTGTGCGAAAAAACCATCCTTGCGCACGCTGTTCACCTGACTGAAGCTGAAGCTGACCTCATAAAAATTCGCAACTGCAAAATCTCTCACTGTCCCATCAGTAACTCCGCCCTCGGCTCAGGAGAAGCTAGAGTTAGATGGTTATTGAAAAAAAGCTTGGAAGTGGGATTGGGTACAGATGTGAGTGGAGGCTACAGCATCAGTATCTTGGAAGCCGCGAAGCATGCCCTTTTGGTAAGTCGACATGTCGCCATGAGTGGTGACGAGGAGGCAAAGTTGAGTGTTGCCGAGGTGCTATACCTTGCTACACGAGGCGGTGCAAAGGTGGTTGGGTTGGAGAAAGTTGGTACTTTTGAAGTCGGTATGTCATGGGACTCACAGCTGGTTGGTCTCGCTACTGTTGGTGAAGATGGAGTGGCGCCAACTTGGGAGGATGGAAAGGTGGACATATTCGGCTGGGAAGGGATTGAGGCTCGCTTAGAAAAGTGGCTTTTCAATGGTGATGATCGGAACACCCTCGCGGTCTGGGTGCAAGGAAGATTGGTCCACTCACGTGAAGGGTAAGTCAGATATATGGAAGATGTAGAATCTATTCATTGAATAAATAAATGAATGAATGGATGTTTTGTTTGGATTAGGTTGTAGTTGGCAATTCCTAACCTAATTGTGTTAAATTGCAGGCTTCTGTCTTAGGTATTCATGGGTTCGTAATTAAGGTTATTGTTAAGGTTTAGCTTCGGTTATCTCACTGATTACCGAGCCGGCAGTATATCAAGGAGGCATGTAGCTCAGGTTGAAGTATCGCACGGTAAACTATATCTGAAGCTGCTACGTATTGTAGTTGCTAAAAGAATACTGCTATTCGGAAACTACAGTTCCATCCCAGAACCATGAGATAATTCAGGCTATGCACGCTAGGTATAGAATGGCTAGCGGATATGGTGAATATGGGGGTAAATACGTAGATATATAAAGACATTGAAGCCTCCAAATTGTTGGACAAGTCTTCAACCAAATTATATTGGAATCAATCCTAGCCTCTCATAAAGCAATCTCATGAATCTAGTTTCGTGTCTGTGATAACAGGCCAATTTACAAAATCTACAACAAGTTCAAATTCGATTAGGTTTCTTCCTGTCGGCCACAAGTCTAGCACTCACAGCGTGTTACGGTTTGACCGTTGTTTGAGCTTAGGCGGATACCTAAGCCTAATATCAAGAATTCTTACGATGAAGCTGAACGAAACGGCACTGCTAGACAGGAGGCGGAAGCATTATTACAACTAAGTGACACCTGGAAATACGTGGCTCGGTATGCCTAGATAATCAGGAAGCCGCCCTTCGTCACTCCAAGCAGTTCCTCTCGTACCGCTCGGTTCCGGCACCTCGCTACCGATAAATAGAAAGAGAACGTTGCTACTATTCCAAAACAGGTATAGTCAGAGTATGATGGTGTCCAGGACATGTCGGCATACCTGGCAATGAAGCTGCTGACGTACATGTTTAACAAGCATGCGCAACCCCAACTCTCCCCTATCTCCAACAATTTCTCGAGCAAAGAGAGACATGATCACTCGATACAAAGCCTCTATATCCCTGTACTGGTCCCAAAACGCTCCTGAACAATACCAACAACTGGGAATTAATGCCAATACTAGGAGCTCCCCAGAGCTCAAGAGCCTCAACCGCTACGCTCTTGGTCGCCTTCTTGCAGCCCCATCAGATCATGGCGACTTTGCTGATTACCACCGTCGCTTTCAGCACTCGGACGATCTTCTGATCTGCGCTTGCGGCCAGAAAAAGTCTCCCGAGCACTTCCTCTTTAGTCGACTCAATCGGAGTCGGTCCTACCTCCGTGGCAAAACTAGACATTCAACGCTGGAAATTCCCTGGATTCTAGGCACTCCTGAAGGTGCCATAGCGTTTGGTAAATGGTTTCTGGAAACATGCTTTTTTGAAGCATGCAATAATAACACTAACTAGTACTCCAAACTATAAATATTTGGCCCGTATTTGCTAGAGCTCAGATTGAAAGACTATTGGTCTAGGTGATAGATAAATTTCTTGTTAATATAGATAATTATCTATTTACTGTAGTGTAAAGTAAAAGTCTTAGCAGGGGAGTAATTTTGACTTCAACTGACAGTTCGGGGTGCATGGCGGGCAGGCCTTGGACCGTTTATTACATGTCGGGCTTAGTTAGAAGTGTCAGCGCGTCGGGTAGTTTATATAGACTGAGCTGGCCAACACGAGACCTTACGGTTGTTTCTATTTTATTATCTTCTTGTCTTGTTCATTTACGTGCTAGGTATAGTGATTCCCGTTGCACTCCTACTGGAGCTTAAGCACGGGTAGGGCCGGGCTGGATCAGGTTAACTACCATTAAGTACATCTACCTCGTCCCACCTAAATGACCGGACCACCTCAGACTTCACCCATGTGTTGAATCATGTCAAGCCCAACCGTCCAGAGAACCCCCTTTTGGCGCGCCGAAGCGCAAATTCCTCCTCAGCCTCGGCCATCACGCACCCGAGCCCATGACACCTCCGCGATCTGTAACTTTTTCCTTCGCTTCATTCCCAGCTTTTGCTCATCTCAGCATCTCCTCATCTCATCCAGGGGTCGTTTTCTTCACTGAAGGCCTCATCCAGTCGCCCACCAAGGCCTCCTCAGTTTGTATTCCCTTTTGATTCCTTCATGCAGCATCCCTCTGTCCTTCATTCAATCTCGTCATCCCAGAAACTTTGTAGAATGTCCACCCCTCCGGCCTTGCCCCGTCGCTGCCGTACCCCTAACCGTGGAGGTCGAAAACGCGACTGAGAGCTCAAGACCGAGGCACCGGTGCCCCAGCCTTTGTCGAACGCTCGGGTTGGTGTGCCGGCGAAATGTCGTACGTATTTCGTCGGTGGCGATTCGTCGCAGGTCGAGTTGTTGGTGCCTTTGGCCGAGGTGAGGACGCATCTAAGGCCGATATTTAGACCGTAACTTCACAGCGACTGGCAATTGCGTAGGGTCAGACATCCTCTTGCTTCTTTATTGGCGATTTGGCTTTTGGAGGTATGGGATTGCTTAGGTAGGTGGTGAGATGATTCTTGAGAGGGCCGCGAGGTGAGTTTGGCTAGGAATGATTTTCTAGAGAAATAGAAAATAAGATTTTAAAGGTGTCGGTTGTTGTGATACGAACGTCGGACAGGTTATAGGCTGTCTGCGGTTCGTATCTGGGGTGTAGATGGTTGATTTCGTTGAGTTGTGCAGTCGTGAAATCTCTGCAAGTCGGATTTTCGACCAAAAATGAGCCAACATCACTCCTCTCGATCGCCAACTCGACGAAAACTCTCAAATTCACCCTTTGTCGTGACTGAATCTCGGCTCTGGAAGAATATTTCACTCCCAGGTTCGTAGAGGACACCACTGACAGGTGTTCAGCCTTCGTCCTCCCTATTTTATTATGTTAAGGTCCTAAGCTAAAGCTATAGGTCCACATTGGGTACTAGACTGTTGGAGCCGGTGGGGATCATTGCTTATAGGCCCAACTCATTCCAACCGCTGGACTCGCTAAAAAATAGTCGGAAGTAAATTACGACGCAGACACCATCTACTCCAACTCCTACATCAAAAATCCCTCCTTTTGCCCCTAAATCCAAAAAGCTACAATCTTTCCTCCGAGAAACGACAATTCTCGCTTCGTTCCCTTTCGTGTCATGCATTGTGGTAGCAACTAGTTTATCTGATCCCCGCTGAAAGCAGTGGATGAGTGAGCAGGTTCTCCAGCTAAACAGCCGGTTTCCTGCGCAAATATTTTGAAGCTATCCTGGCACTTGGGTCCGAGAAGCTTTTTGATAAAGTCAGCGTGGGACATTGACTTTCTGAGCCTACGCGTGTGTTGTGCGTGGCGGCTACAGTGGATGAAGTGGGTTTGAGTAGTTTCCCTCTCGCAAAAACACTCCATAGGAGCGTATGGATTGTTGAAACGGCGATGATTTGCCGCAAAATTGCCGTGACCCGTTCGTGCTGCAATTGGTTCGCGGAGCAGGTGCCTAGAGAGAGAGAGTTCGGGTGGTTTGCGTCTCCGAACCTGAAGGTTAAGTTGGCGGTATTTAGGCGGACAGGCCTCTTCCTACCAGTTTTCGAGCAATCTCTATCATCTGCGATTCATGACTCCACGAAGATATGCCAGAGTATATGATCCTGGCTAGGTAGCCTTCGAAGGGCGCCACAGGCAACAGTGTCTGCCTCTTCGTCCCCTTGTATCCCTTCATGCCCTGGCACCCATTTACCAATACTTTTGCCACGTTTTTCAATGCACAGAAGCTGCGTACATTTTCAAGGCTAGTTGAGGATGAGCCCGTCGTTAATGCGCTTACAGCCTGCTGGCTGTCTAGGAACACGTGTGTTACGGTTTGACCGTTGTTTTAGCTTAGGAGGAAAACTAGGCGTTTAATTAGGAATAATTACGATAAGACTGAAAGAGGAAGGATCGGCAAATAGATATGAAATGGCACTACTAGCCAGGAGGTCGAAGCAACATCATAGCGTAATGGTCCCTGATAATACTTGGCTCAGTAGCAAGTATTAGGCCTAGGGAGAAGTTATCAGTCAGCAGATTCACGAAGCGGACCAAACGTTATAAGTACCTGTTAGTAGTAGCTAGAGATTTCTTTTCTCTTCATATAGTTTAATAAATCGATTTATTCATTACCAACTCGGTTTCCGTCACAACATGGATTTGCTGCGACCCTCCTACGATCCTGGACTTTTCGTTTTCCAAGAACTCCATTGCGGCCTACAGGGCCTTCCTTGTTCCTCTTATCTCTGCATCCAGCACCTCTCCCCCATGTATGATGCTACTTATTTTGCCGATGTATTTTCCATTCTTCTTCAGAACGTAACCCTAGGCAGAGCGTCCGTATCCTTCCAGTGAGCCATCTGAGTATGCGCAAATGTCTGTTCCTGGCACGTTATTGATCCATCTAACGCAGTCATCTCGTTCTGTCTACTTTGGGCCTGACTTTTTAGGGTAGACTACCGGCACCAGGATCTCAGGGGCCTCTGCTTCCAGAAGCTCTCAATAGGCCCGATGTAACCGTGACATCTGTATTTCTGGTCTTGCGGAGATTTTGGCGATCTATTTGTATTTTTGAGTGCCGATATTCGGGCACACGGAAGCACTGATCCTCAACGGGTGTCAATCATCAAGAGTCTTAAGCCTTGCCGAAAGTCGAAGTCGGTTTCCCTTTAGTATGACCTTTGCCGGCGGGATTCCCCCTTCTTTGTGAAGGACTACATTTGGTGTTGTCCTAATTGCTGGAATTGCAGCCCGCAATCCCATCAGGTTCGCTCTGTCAATCATGCTGCAGAGTTTGGAGGTTGAGGATGTAACTATTCTTCGTAGAGTCGGGCGTTTGGACCCTGGCCACCAGACATCAGATCCAAAAGTTGCCAGCGAGACGACGAACACGTCTACTGTGCTGGCTAACGGCCCGGGGGCTGCTCCCTGAAAGACCGAGTTGAAGCGACGCATATGCTGTGTGTCACAGATCAACTATATAAAGCAAGGAGCATTTG